TAAATTGCCAGTTAACAAGGGTTTTCATAGTAGCATTTCTATGAGATTGACGTACAAGAATGAATGGCTTCAATTATCAGTGTTCACGGATGACATCATTGAACTGGCCCTCTAGAGGCGAAATTACGCCAGGAAAAGTGGACGTTTATCGTCTGCTTCACAGCCCGTTTTATACCCGATATTCAGGGCATTTCGCAGCACATACAAGTTGTTTTATCGACAGAATTCATTCATAGATCTCAAATTTCATGTACAGAGTGTCAAAAGCCAGACCTCTGCTTCCCTTTAAACATACCAAATACACTAAACACAGCATTCAGCAAAGCTTAAAACTTGCATGTGCAACATGTACAAATTGATAAATGCGTCGTACTCACCTCCGAATATATTTTCAAATATTTCAACATACATTTTATTAGCCGAGTCAGGTGGTGCAATTTTTATTTCACACGTTCTATACCCGATTGGTGTGTAAGCTGGAATTGTATGATGACTCGTTTTGCCAGTGTTTATATTAGCATCTCTCATAAGTGACAAAGGCTACGAGAATAAAAACAAAGAAAACACAGCTTTAATATGTGAATATTCTGCTATCAAGCAACGCCCTCTATCGGTTCAAATTTAGTAACTTTAATTTTAACCGAACTTCGAATTACGGGAAATATAAACGTTAACAAAACAAAAAATCTACATTTCCCGTAACTCGAAGTTCTGTTAATTGAACAACGAGTTACCATTTGGGCGTGGTTTCACAAAAGTGGGCGTGATAATTTTTGTAACTCGATGTTTTCGAAACTCGAACAATTCGGCATGTCGGTTAACATAGAGTCAAAACGAAAGTGAAGAAGTTGGGAATAAAGTACATAGTAAAAACAAGATGTGAACCACAGAAAGCTTTGACGACATACGGACAATTACTAGGTGATCAAGTAACATCTGAAAAGAAACAGTCATCTGGGAAAATAGGCTGGGCAAAATGTGCTGACAACGAACCCAACGACAGCGTGCGACTATTCAAAGGATGTTTGAACATCTCGCGAGAAGCATTGGAATGGGATATGACTTACTACCTGGGATACTACTCTGAATGTAGGATTACGTGGGAGGCAGGCAGATGACATTAAACGGATAATATAATCGCAGAAGTAATATAAAAAGTCTATGCACTTAAAGTTACCCGTAACATGTGTATAATCAAATGTCATCTTCATTATGAAATACAAATAAATAAGTAAGTCATACAGAACCTGCGTCTAATCTCTTAGCTCACTTATTGAGCACTAATTTTGTTGATGCGGGTGACCGAGTGAGAGATTGTGCGTCTGTACGTGTTCAAGCAGTAAATGTTCAGTGTTATTTACGTGTATTAATAAATATAACCATATTAACAAATACTCACTGGACCCGCGGAATCTAAAACGTCGTTTACAATTTCTCCTTTATTTGATTTCTCCAATTCAATAGTGGATTCGGTCTTAGAGTAAAATATTGCTGAGACAATACAATGTTTGGTTTTCTTGGATTTCTTGGATTTCTTCAACCAAGCATTCATACCAGTCTCATTGAGGTACCTGTTTCGCAAATATTATAACACATGAATATGAAATTTAAACTTATTGTTGAATCTGCGTATATCGGAAAAGTGCTGACATTTTATTAACTCGTGAATCACCTAGAATTTCCCAATATTCCCACTATATTCGATTCTGTATAGTATCCAAATGAGATCATGCAGCCTGGACAGGCCAAAGATGGTGAGAGTGCAATAATGAACAAAACGCAGTTGAGAGAATAATTTAAATGACCCGTTTGTTTAAACAGACGATGTATTTTACAGGCGTTGTGTACTATATCAAACAGGACGCAGCGTGACAATCACCGCTCTTTAAGCAGACATCTTCGTCCAAGCCGTGTTATTCACACAACAATAGGCAGTGTGGAGTCCTTTATTTCAATTACACCGTCAAGTGACGAAACAGTGAACATTTCTCAACGGTACGTTTGGAGAATGAAATTGACGATGAGGTGTGCACGTCGGGTGTAGACAATGCTCGCAAACAGATATAAGGCGAACAAACGTTCAAAGGCAATTTTGTATATATGATAGTTGGCATGGTAAGCGATAAGTGATTAGCTGATGTAGGTCACTTGTAACAAAGCTCAACTATCTGCTGCACGACGGTGATGCGACACTGGTATGTCTGCTGATATCATGATACGTAACTGACAGAGTGTAAATCGGTGTCAACGAGTGGCATCATCATTCACTTTAACAGCAAATAAAATAAAATAACTCGCCCGAGCGAGTGTGGATGGCACGAGCTTAGGTGTGCACTAAAGGGGGAGACTATGCGTAAACATTCCAACAACTTCCTTAGAGTATGTGCGCAAAAAAGAGATAGGGCTTGTAAACTTGCTCAATTCTTATTTTTTCAGCAGAAACATAGGTGAACTAGGCCAGTTACGAGAAGGGAAAATGGATTTTTTTTCACCCCATTGTCGATGACAAGACGAACCAGATTATGTGGCATTTTGTTCAAGTATACCACCAGATTCTGGTCATCTTTCACGGAATGGTGTAGGTCACACACTGAACAGCACAAAACTGGGTTTGTCGATTTCACTTAGTTTCTAAAATAAAAACACGAGTTGAAACATACATTGTTACATACCATCCCTGTGAACGCATATCATCGGCTAATTTCGGTATATCAATGTCTTTCCTATACACATCACCGAAGTCCACGGTCATACGTTCACTGTCTCTCATGTTCAGACCGAACATTTTAGGCCCCAATCTTACCTTCCTTCGTACCTGCCTCGTATACCTGACTTTATGGAATTTGTTGATGTTAATAGTAGGTTCGTATCTATGTTCAGTGTTGTCAACGATATCATTTAAACTGCGTGAGCCGAAGCTGTGGGTAGTGCCACGAAAGTTGCCTTTTTTGGTAACCAGCTTCAAGAGTTTCACATGTGAGGCTTCATCTAAGGATTTTACATTGAATATAGATTTCGGCCCCGCATGTTTAGCGAAATGGTATGTTGCTTCTTCAAACATGTCACCCTGTCGTGTTGGAGCCACTTCTACGCATGTTGGTATTTATATATTGGGCAATGTTCACATCCAACAGTCAATTGTCCCGTGTTCAATACTAATGCGCGATATGAACACTGTCATGCAGCGCTGCCCTCTGAATTATGCAAATCAAGTCTGCATATAGTTCCTCCGTCCCAGGACCTCAAAAAGTATTCACGAAATGACGCACAAACACATATAAAAATCCTATTATAATTTTGTTGTCTTTGAGAGCTGTTGTTTTTGTATTCCATGGACAGTGAGGTAGTTGGAGAATGTTACTGTATGCAAGCAGTTGTAATGGCAGGTCGTACGAAGTGGTGGAGTTTGCCGGCTCAGCCAAATCACGTGACCATATGGCTGCCTTCGACGACAACAACTTCAGTTTAATTTAATGTCAGTTCTAAAATAGCCTTTTCCACTTCTACATGCTATCTAAAGATAGGTTCATAAACAATTATTCAAATCCAATGCATAAATCCATGTAGTGGCCGTTCCACATAAAATACCAACGCACGAGCCACATAGTAAGTAGCTTTGTATACTTGATACTGCATATAAATACACTCTACAGCTGTCATTAGACTTTATATTATCAACCAGGAGTAGTTCCGTAAACTCCCCAAAAGAGTAAAATGTTATTGTATATTATCAAATTACAAGACCTTCCTCCAATAAGTATGTCTTTCCTACTGTGAAGTATGCTCTCTATAGTTAAGATCAGTTTCTGTATTTCTGTTTTGTTTTTGACGCAGAGGACGCTAGGACGAAAGGCATTGTTTCAGATTATATAATCAAGCACATGCGTTGATATTTTTGGCTGAACATCCACTATAGAGTTTTTGGTACTAATCTGTGCCACTGTGTGCAAACAATTGTGATTTTATTGTTCTTGGATTCGAATATGTGCATTCAATTCTGATCTGTGTTCACTGCTGTATCGTCAATATGGCTCGAAGTCGTGCATGGTGTACAATTATAACTGTATTTCATATAGTTTAGTAAAAGCTGTCACATATATGGATTTTACACTTTTGTCTGTTTAATACGTGAATCGTGCACCAAAAGGCTACTGTCATACTTGTAGAAAAAAATTGGGACAGCTACGCAATGCAGGACAGCAATAATGCGTTTATACCTCGGTTGAGTTCGAGATGAATTTATTATCAAAATGTCTCATTCAATCCTAAAATGACAAATAAATATAGAATCATAAACATGCATGTACATGACTGACTGAAAGACAAACTTCAAATTCATAACAAATAAAGGCACATACTAGTTAGTGTTCATATATCATGACAAATAACTTGTGCAAAATGTTGGGGAGTAAATGTAGTGTGTAGCAGTTAACTCCCCGGGGTAGGATTCGGGAAGACTATATACCGGAACAGAACCAGACAGATCAGTTGTATGCAACAAACACAGTGGTGGTTTATTGCCAGATAGACTGATATAGTAAGTAGTAACACAGATGAACACTGGTGAAATACACAAATTCTGAGTATATATACTCTCTGAACGAACGTGATAGAAAACACAACTCTATAAAGTAGCAATCGTAACATAAATATAAATTGGCGGCAATGTGTACGATAGGTCAATAACATCTCGCCTGTGATAGGCTAAAATTAAAACAATCTGATTGGCTGAGAGATTTATCTCAGAATCCGAGACGTAACGTTACATGACTGCTTCTCTAAATTCTCCGCGCCTCAAAAATAAAAAAACATATGAAAATGTATGTCTACTACATTATCAATGAAATCATGTGTACCTCGAACAATAATAAGGATATTGGATAAAAGATTCAAGTAAATGAAGTGTCCACGGAAGGCATTTCAGCCGACTGTCCATATTTAGTTGGTTGAATATTACGAATAAAAACATAATAATGAAAATGAAATTGAAATTTCGAAAGTCACATTAAATCAGCAAATCTTATTCGGGCTGCCACAGCAGAATCCCTGGTTGGTCGCTTAGGAATAGTGTCACCAGTCATCTGGGTGGTGGTGACATCTGTTCGCGCTTTGTCAGCGGTTAGTCCAATATTTTGTATTGTCTCTGCAGGTAATCCAACATCTGATTGATTATTACTTTCAGGCGACGTTAATTCCTTGGAAACAACTTCTAACGGATACAATTTATGTATCGGTCGATTGGTAGGTCCGTTAGCTGTATTTAACTCAGCGGATCTCACAAGTTGGTCGTTGCCATAAACTAATTTAGTTACGGTGCCAAGATGCCATTTCTGGCGTTTATCCACATCACTGTGGATTATCACAACATCTCTAACTTTTATTGTATTCCCTTTACTTCCTGTAGTTGGGTGTCTCTCTCGAAGGGCAGTCAAATATTCGGTCGACCATCTTCGCCAAAATTGAGCATGTAATCTTGACAAGTGGACATAACGATTATTCATTTCACGGTGGTCTGAGAACTGATAAGTAGGATCGCGTATTTCGTCGTCAGTGACTTCGATATATGGTAATGAGGTCAATGTCCGCCCGTGAAGTAGGTGATTCGGAGTCAATGCTATGTTGTCATTAATACTTGATGACACGTACGTAAGGGGGTCGATCATTGAGAACGGCTTCAATTTCTGTTACTAATGTTGAGAGTTCGTCGAATGTTATTAACGCTCGACCC